AAAACTAAAAAAAGCATTACGCTTGACTTTTAATTTCTTAGCTTATCACTCGACTATATTAAAAGCAGCTCGCGAGCTCTTTAGCTTTTTATCTTAATGTGCTTTTGCGATACAATTAAGTTAAGTGTTTTGCAAGCAATTATAGTCTTTTATCGCTACCTTCTTATTAAATGCTTCTTTTTTCTTAAAATCAAAAATCTTTTTTATTGTTCGTGCTAATATCGTATAATAAAACACTTTAATAACAAACTTCAATAGCGTTACTTTTTTTTACGAATTACGAATTTAAAACTTTTTTTACACCGACGTATATAGTTTCAGCTTAAAAGGTTTCTATTTCTTATACTTTTTCGAAATCCTTTAAAAACATATTATTAATAAGATCACTTTTAATATTACTTTTGCTTTTTAAACCTTTCTTAACGTTAAAACTCTATTCAATATCAACATCTACGAAATAAGAGCGGTCTTAATTGCATTAAAGCTATAAAGAACTAGATAGATTAATCAATATCTATTGATCTATATCGATAATTTTATTACTTTCTTAAGCTTTTAAAAGCAATCTTTGATTAGCTTTGTTAACGCTGATCTTCGAATATTAATCTTACTTGTTATAAAACATAACATCAAGTTAAAAGCAAAATGGATTTTTAAAAAAGAAAATGAATTAGCCGACGCACTTTTACGTTTTAATTAAGAAGAAGTTATTAATATATGCTTAAATTTACAAGACTTTTTAATTTTAAAAAACTTTTAAAAGATTAATACATTGCTTTAAGAAAAAAGGTCACGGAATAATATGCGAAGTTTATTTACTACGGACTAAACCTTGCATTACGAAAAACTTATAACTTTATAAAGAAAGCATATACTTATTAATGTAGCTTAAATAGCTTTACTTTTTTCTTTGTATAAGAACGAGCTTTAAAAGAATACTTAACGGCAAAAGGATAAAGCTATAACACTAATAAATTATTAGCACGCTGTAAAGCAAAGACCTTGCGTTAATATAAAGCTTATTTACGATCAATTTATATCGATCGAAGCTTAGACGTAAGTGTTTTCGATAGTTTACGAATCTTATAGATTTTTAACGGAATTAAAAGATGCAATATCAAGATCGAAAAAGTCAAAGCAGCTCTTTTACTTGAATCAATAATAAAGAAACTCTTTTTAAAAACTTTAACTTTTTTGCTTTAAACAAAAACAAAGAAACTCTTCGACGAGCAAATCAATAAGCTTAATTAAAAAGCTGCGGCTAAACTAATATATAAAAGCTAGCTAAAAAGCGAAGAATTCACGTACGATACTTCCGATTTAAAAGACGCAAAAATATTCGAAGCTATTAAACTTATAAAAAAGGATATCACTTTTAAAGACAATTACGAGCACTTAATCATTCGCTTAAAAAGAAGTAAAACTAACTTTAATAACGATAGTATAAATATAATTGTAGCGGCAACTAAGGTTATTACGTGTGCTATAGCGGCCTTACGAGACTTATTTAAATACGACTTTTAACTTTCGAATGCTCTTTGTTTTCGCCGTATTACAAGAGCTTTTATAATTGCAAAACTAATCGAAATTTTACGAAGCAGACTTATAGTTGCCGGAGTCTTAAACTTTTAATTATATATTAGCTACAGCTTTCGTCGTAGAGGCGCTTTATAAGCTAAACTAAATAAAGTCACTTATGAAGAGATACAGTTGATAGGACGTTGGACTTCAAACGCTTTTTTAAGCTACTTATATACAAACTTAGTTTTAAAATTCGCGCTTAGCTTACGAATCTTAGCAAAACGCTATCTTTTATTATAAAACAACTTTTATAAGTTCTTCTCTTTTAGAAGCATTTGATCTTTTAATTAAACCTTATAATATCACACCTTTATTAGCTTTGAAGTCGCTTTATAAATACATTACACTTACTATTATTATAAAACACGTCTTTATAATACTATACTATTATATACACATTTACTTCGCTTCGTAGCACTTTTTATATCTAGCTACGAATCGCTTTTCACTTTTTACTTTTTTTAAACCTTTTACTTCTTTTTAGCATAGGCTTTACTTTGGCTTCTTTGAGCTTAGCTTATTCCTTGACAGCTAGCTTCGTCTTAGCAAGCTATTCTTAGCTACTTTAAAAGCTTGCTAGCCAGCTATTATTATATTAATTAAAGCTTAAAGGCGCTTGTTAGCTAAAACTTAAAAGAACTTTATTTTTCTTTTTTTTAAGCAATCGAGTTTAAAGATAAAATGTTTATATTTATGCTATTAAAAGAGGAAGCGGGCTATAACTTTTAATGCTTTGAAAGGCTGTCGATAAGACATAAGATAAAGGTCTTTAGTCAGTTTAAGCTATATTATAGTAGTAATTTCTTAAAGTCAAAAGTCTTTAGCAACGATCGATTATTTAAAAGTCATTTTCTTTATTCGCTATCTTTGGCCTTACTTCATGTATTCAAAATAGCTTTAATTAAGAGCGTTAGGCTTTTTTAAGCTTAGCTCATTCCTTGACAGCTGGCTTCGTCTTAGCAAGCTACTCTCAGCTACTTCAAAAGCTTGCTAGCCAGCTATTATTACATCAATCAAAGCTCAAGGGCGCTTGTCAGCCAAAACTCAGAAGAACTTCACCCTTCTTCTTTCCAAGCAATCGAGTTTGAAGATAAACAACGTTTTTGATTGTCAGCAACGCTAAGGATGATGACAGTGTTGACTCGGCACCAGAACACGGGCAGCCACAAACTGAACGACAGTACAACAACAAATCCGGCAGTGGGAATACCATATACTCGATATTTCTCGAGAATTTCCAGCAGATCCGAGAAAGAATTCAGAGAATTCTATGTTTTGCTGAACTCCAGTTCTGAAGTGTTTATCACCGATAAAGAGAAACGGGATTACAAGCTATAGGCCGAATTGCGAGCCGAAGGCCAAGGAGCAGGAGGGTCTGATGAAGTCCAAGCTCCTTTTCAATAGCATTATGCCTGGAGCCAGACGATAAGAGAACTTCCTAGCCGCTCTCTGCTCTGCAGGCAAGGGTCTACCCCCCCCCGCGTCCACCCCTACCGACCCTGGACCTATCGCCTGAGACTGGAAACGCTGAGAAGGTAAGCTTGGAGGACGTTGCCTACCTTAGAGGGCAAGATCTCACTCCGAGCAGGGTCAGCTCCACCGTTATCGGGATATATTTGAGTGATCAACACCAGTGATATCGTTACTTCGATATTTCCCTACATCTTTTGCATCCGTTCCTGATCAGCCCACTCGTGAACTCTGATGATAGGGATGGATATTCATTTATTCGACATTCGTAAAGACGAGAGATCACACCTGCTGTATTTGATCAGATGTGGCGACCCCGTTTCGTTGTGACTGAAAGTCCTGCCAACTTGCTCGGGATTAAAGGTACGTGAACAAAATGATCCTACCTTGCCTGATCCCGCTCATGCACCTAGGTGTTGATGACCACGAAACAAACACAGGCGCGCCAATGAGCACACATAATAGCTATCGGTATACGAGGATACTTGTACTCTGCAGGAATTACAGGGAGGAGATAAGGCACATTTGCGCGACGGGGAATTTTGGACAGTGTGTCGCCACACGCACGAAGCTAAGCACCAACGACAAGAAGCGGAACTTTGTCCCAATTCAGCACCGAAGGTTCTCAGAGCGATGACACCCTGGAGCATTGCAGACATCACTTATACGACCCGTCGATTCGACATAAGTAGGGTGATTCTCACTCGCTAATTCCAAATCATCCCAATATGACACCCGCAAAGCATCTTCTCTTGTTGGATATATCAATCCTACAAGCAATCCACTCATCCTTACACTCATTCTGATACTTATCCTTTCGCCATTTCGAAGCACTGATATACCTACTACCTGGGTGATCACCAATCCATTCTAAGAATCAAAACACTCGTGTATGGCTTCCCTATTTTCCCATCCACGACATCAATCGCTAATACATTTCTCCTTAGCATTCATCATGTGCCAAATACTAATCGGCACCAAAAAATACCACAACTGTCCTAGCTCCTGCAACACCGTGTCAAAGTCTCTCAATCGTTGTCAACCCTCGATCGCTTCGGGCACGCCATGCCCTAATCCCAAGGAGGTTCCTCTGGGCTCATCCACCAGCCGCGATCAGTGTCCAAATCACAGAGACGAAGGCTATTCACGCTGAATCCTTACCGCCGGCTGATTCTGGATATATAAAGACGATGTTGTTTGGACGTGATGATTGGTCTGGGCTTTTGGCTTTAGCTTTTGGCTTTTGGCTTTGGCTTTTGGTTGTAGTCGCAGTAGCCCGTCGTGGTTTCGTGATTCCGCAAGATCATGCATCGTGATGTGCTGATGTGTTTCGTAATTTGATTGCTGGCCATGATGGCTGACGTTGTTTCGCGGGGAATGGATCCGTTCCGGAGGTCGAAGGTAATAAGACTGGGCCTGGCTTCTGTTACGTTGAGCCAGGAATTGTTGGATTCATATTCTTTTGCTAGAATATGTTTCATTCACCCTCATATCTCTGTGAGCCCAACCATTAGGGATAATCACTTGCATCTCGTGTGGTGGCAGAAGGGGAACCAGTCACACGATCATGACTGACAATTTTCAACTCCCAACTCCGTCGTTTCCAGAGGGCCCAGTGGACGAGAGAGTGAAGGATCGCCCGTACCTTACCCGCGAGTATATTAGGAGGAGTGCAATGATTCGAACGCCCACGTCTTTACGTTGCTACAAGTATTACGCAGTCGCCTGGCCCTTCTGCTTACTGTGCTCCCCTTCGACTCCATCCTGTCGTCACCCAAGCGCTATGATCACGGGACTCACTGCAGCTTGAGACTAGCGCATTCGGGGTAAATATCCAGTTAGCTTGATTAGTCACATGACCTTCCCCTCCCCGCATCTTGTACAAGCGCAACCAACATCGACCGTAGTGGGTGGGTGCATATAAATATTGAACATCTTGATCTTGCAAAATGAAGGAGGAGATGTACGTCCGAGATGCGAAGGGCTTATTCCTTGACGGCGGTGCTTCCGGAATCTTGGAGATCTTACCCTGTGGCAACGTGATCAAATCACCATGGGCCGATCCATCGGACGACTGTCGCAAAGAACTTACAATCGAGCATGAGATATACGAGAAGCTAGGCCCGCATCCTCGCCTGATCAAAATCATTAGTTGGAACCTCCAAGATTGTTCTCTGACCATGGAACATATGCCAAAGGGAAACTTGCACAACTTTCTCCTCCAAAGCGATACGGTCACAGAAACTCAACGACTCCAGTGGGCTAAAGAGGCAGCAGAAGGCCTCCAGCTACTACACGCCGCGGACGTTATTCACTGCGATGTAAATCCCAAGAACTTTATGCTTGATGCACATCTAGGTCTTAAAATTGCAGATTTTTCGGGCTCATCACTTGCAGGCTCAAAGCCGTCCGCATATAATGGAACCCGATTCTCGATACCTGATGATGATAGGCGGCATCCACCGACGGTGCAAGATGATTTATTCGCGCTCGGCACTACGATCTACTTCATAATGACATCGCAGCTCCCTTTCCCTGAGCTTTCCGAGGAACAGGTCAAGGAGAACTACAAAAACAGCAGATTTCCCGACGCCTCGAAGCTAAGCTGTGGAGAAGTCATCCAACAGTGCTGGAAATCTCAAATTGCCTCTGCACAAGAAGTATATGACTCTATTCGAAGCATTCAAGGGCACAACTTCACTGAATCTTGATTGTATTCCGGTTTATGTCAGTATTTAAGAGGCAAACCCTGCTCAGTTATTCTCGATCACTTCGCTGACGATATCTTAGCTTTCTTCGACTCGCACGGTCTAAATTGGGCGCGTCCTAGCCGTCGATGCCTTTATCATGAATCCATTCTCGTGTCTCGGGAGGCGGTCTATGATGTGTTCATGTTGCTTGGGATTGATGGGTGCGAGGAAAGGGTGGCAAGGGTAGTAGACGCAACAGGGGGGCTTTTCTTTCACTGCAATACCCTGATCGATGCCGCATCTCAGAGGTACACGAAAAGCCTTTACATAAGCTTTCTGGCCGACTCTCCAGCTTCTTCGCGATGGTTCCTACCGCATCAAGATGACGTCGCCATCGGCTAGAAACACGTGTAGATGTAGGTCGCCTCTTCATCCTCGATATTTTGTGCATGCGTCCTTATCCTCCTTTTTCGCGATCCTAACAGTACACGCACCTCGGGAAGAGCGAACGCAAGCTCGCCCTTCCCGAGATGATTTTATTTCGCGCGTAAAAAATTAAAAAAAAATCGCTTCGCATCGCGGCGACGCTTTTAATACTATTTAAAGTCACGCCGAAGCGCTAGCTCAATCACGTGACCTTTTTTTTTCTTAATTAAATTTTTTTTTCGAAAAAATATTTTCGACTTTAATAATTATTTAGCGTCTTTATACTATCACGTGATATTTTTTAAATAACGAAAACCTTTTAAGATTTTTTTCTTATTTAATAAAGCAATAATAATTATAGAAAGAATATTTTAACCTTATTATTTTCTACTTAGCTAATAGATATTATAATTAACGTTAAGTTTTTTATTGTCGCCTTTCCCGAGATACGCGATTTTGAAAGCTATTATTC